ATACTCTTACGGGGTGGTCAGGATGACTTGTACATACTCTTCTGTGGCTGCAATCTAGATAGTGCCAATCTTTGCTTCGTCTAGTATCAGATGGTGATGCTTCTCCATCTTTTCATGCTAGTGATGTGGTGGGGCTTTGGAGTGAGAATGAACCAAGTGACTCCATCTTCCTAGCTTTGTGGCCTTTGATACTTAACCTCCTTAGGCCTTTGTTTCCTCATCTGTAAAAAGGAACTAATACTTACCAGCAAGGTGGGAGGGAAGATTAATGACAACAAATACAAAGTGGCTGGCATTACCTGGGATGTAGTAGGTCCTCGGTGTATTATAGCTATTATCGTGGCTCAGTCCAACAAGTATTCTCTCCCACCAACATTAGTATTACTGGTCTCTCCTACTGGACCAAAAGCTCAAAAGCTCTATAAGAAGCAGAGACTTTGTTTTGTTCACTGCTGTTTCTCTATATCTAGAACACTGCCTAGATCATAGTAGGTGCGTGGTAAATATTTGTTGAATCAATGAATGAAGTTCTAAACAAGTTGACCTTACTCGTAGGACATCGGCCAACATTCAGACCCTCTTACTCACGGGCCCTTTGCTCGTGGTGTTCTTCCCTCTGCCTGGAACACTCCCTCTTCGTCTAGTTAACTTCTACTCATGGTTAGCACAAGCCTCACTGCTTCAGGGAAACCTCTTTGAGATTCCCCTTCTTAGCATCTGTTAACAATGTTGCAATTTTACTTCTATTTGTATAATGGCTCAATTAATATGTGACTATAAACTTTCTAAGGACAGGGGCCAGGTCTGTTGTACTTACCACCGTATGTATTTCCAGGTGCTAGTAGACCTTCTATACAAATTTGCTGAATGAATTAATAACTTTCCTCTCTCTCTCTCCCTCTTTTAAAAGACTCTTCTCTCTAGAAAGCGGGGTCCAGTCTCTTAAATTGGATCAGAGGTCCATTTGTGCCAGTGCTGCATCATGAATAATCCCTTTCCCGTTTCTGGGTCAAGCACTGTGACTCTCTCCTATGGGGCCAATTTGTCAGTCCCAAAGTGTCTTATTACCATTTATCAGCACTTCATTATGCAGCTAGACCCTCCAATAGGAGGTCCAGAAAAGTCAGGATTTTGGTGGGACTTCGAGTATGAAATGGGATTTGCCATTTCCTCCTATGCCACCTTTGCTCCATTTCTCACACTGAGTTGTAACTGTTAAATTTTCAGGTGTCTTCTCCCCTCCCACACAGTAAGACAGGATTATTTCTTGCCGCCAGAGGCCATTATAGTCCCTAACATGCAGTGAATGCTCATAAGTGTTTCTCGAAGGAATGCAATGTTTTCCATGAGTGAAGCTTTATTGAGGACAGAAAGCAACTCGCAGGAGAGGGCACTACTTCTGTCATTTTTATTTTAAAACATGAGCCAATAAATCTTTTTGTTTACACTAATTTGGATTGGGTTTTCTGTTACTTGGAACTGAAAACATTCTGATAGAGTATAACTAGTGGTATTCAAGCATAGGCTTTCCGATAGATTTTTGTTCAAAAATACTCACTCTGTATTCACCCCTTCTTAGCTCCTTAAGAAGAATATACTTCCCTACCCCTTGTCTTTGGGCTCAGCTATGGGACTAGTTTTAGCCAGTGGGATGTTAGCAGACATGTACCAGCAGCAGTGTGAAAAATGCTAGCGTGGTTGGGCATGACCCCTTGTACCACTGCTATCTCCATGACAAGAGTGCCTCCGGGGTAGCTGCTGCCCCTTCAGCCAATGAATACTGGTAGAGGGACTGACCTGCACACGGGAGCCAAGCCCAGCTGGACCTGCCTTGTAGCAGAGCCATCCAGCCAGGCCTAGCCTAGATCAACCAGCCAACCCCCAGCCAACCCCTAGAATGCTTATTGTGGCATGCTGCTGATATTTGATGGTTGGTTGTTATGGAGTAATAGCTAAGTGATCAAGGTTAGATCAAGGGTTTGTGAACTTGACAGTGCATCTGAGTTACCTACGGAACTTTAAAATAAATAAGAGACACTTAAGCATTAGTCAGACTGTCTGGAGTGGTGATCAGAAATCTACATTTTTATTAAACTCTCTGGGTGGTTTTTAAGTAGTGATTCTCACACCCTTTTGCTATCTGGTATTTTTGGGGTCACCAATATTAAAGCATGTCATGGAGGTTGTATTAGATCACCTCTAAGGTCTTTTTTCCTCTCCAGTTGAGACTGTATAATTGAAGTCAGAGAAATACTGTTTCTGAAGTAGAATCCTTTTCAATTTGAAATTGGAGAAATCTCTACTGGATTTTTCTTATCTAATTTGGAGAAAGATGCAGATGTAAATTAATTTGTGATTTATGGCCCCAGGATTTTTGGCTTTTTATTCAAGGGTTGTCACTTCTTAGTATTTTTCTGGGTTATGGTCAGCAGTGAAATGAAAATTCAAGGTAGAATATTGGGGCTGGGAGAACCAAGACACAGGTGAGGAAAGAGGCATGGGAGAGGTCAAGCTTAGCAGAGAAGCCGCTGAAGGAGTGATCTGAGAAGGAGCCTTCAGCTGTGGCTTAGGAGTCAGGAACCTGGGATCACACCTGGTTCAGAAAAGCCAGAAGTTTAATTTTAGTTGTAATAATTGCCATGTCACTCACTACTAACAGTTTGGAGCTTTGAGGCAAATCTTAATAAAATGTTAAAAAATGTGAATTTATTTATAGAAAAAGCATGATGAAAGTATAATTTAAAAGGAAGTTGCTTTTTAAAATTATAACAATAAAATATTTTCATTGAAAAAATTCAGATGATACAGAAAAATATAAAGGACAAGTACTTATTACTCATAAGCCCACCTTTCAGAAATAACTATTGATAATATATTGCTGCATAGTCTTCTTGACTTTTTTTTTCTATGAGTGTGTGTATATTTTAGAAAAATAGGATTTTCTTATTACTTATTAATATCCTGCTTTTTTCTTTGTCAGTAAACACTAACGTAATCACTGTTAAAGCTGCATAATAGTCCATTGTACAAAGAGGTACCATACTTTATTGAACTGTTCCCCACTGATGGACATTTGGGTTATAAAGGCTGTGATGAACATCCTTGCATATACAATTTTTGTGTGCTTGTCCAGTTATTTTTTTAGGATAAATTCCAATAAATGGAATTTATATATTGAAGGGTAAACCCATCTTAAAGGTTTCTGATACATAGTCGAATTGCTCTCCCAAAATGTATAAACTAATAGTGCTAGGTTTGCCAACACTTTTAACTCTTGTGAATCATCCAAAGGGAAAAAAATTTTGTGGTTTTAATCTGCCTTTTTTTTTTTTAAATAAAGATGGGGGTTTCACTATGTTGTCCAGGCTGGTCTAACTCCTGGCCTCAAGCAGTGCTCTGGCCTCAGCTTCCCAAAGTGCAGAGATTACAGGCGTGAGCCATGGTACAGGGCCTGATCTGCCTTTTATTACTAGTCGGTTTAAGTCTCTTGTCATGTATTTATTATCTGTACTTTTTGTGAATAAGTGTCAAGCTTCCCATTTTTCTATTATTTCGACTTTTTCTTTTTGACTTATATTACCTCCTTATATTAAGTATATTGTTTCATATTTACATTGAAGACATTTTTCCTAATATGGTTTGTTTGTGGTGGCTTTTCATAGATTTCTTAATTTTATGAGCCAAACTGATCAGTTTTTCAATGAGATTTTAAAATTCCTTCTGAGGTGGGAGGCAGCATAATAGAATGAAAAAGGCAGAGGACTTTCGAACAATTCAGTCCATGATCTTCCTACCTATGTCCAGGTAACTCCTAGCAAGATGTGGTAGGAGGAGCAGTGGGCTGGGAGTCAGATCACTTTACCTCTCTGTGTCCCAACCTCCTCCCCTATAGAATGGAGATAAGAATGAAAACTCCCTTGTGGGGCTGTGAAAAAGAATTGGAGAGAATGCACATAAAGAGCTTTCTCCAGGCTTTGTATATAGCAAATCCCCTCTAAATCTCAGCTCTTATTAGGGGGAGAGAGCAATACAGACTTTTAAAAACTATCTTAAATTCAGTTGCATGCGAGTATATGGGAATGAGGTGGAGGGTGAGGATTCTAGAAATTTAGCCATTCATCCAACATCTCTGAGAACTGCATAGCTGGAGTCAAAACTTGGGTTCCAATCCTGGTCTTGCCCATTTCTTGGTATGTGACCTTGGACAAGTCACCTTTACCTCTCCGCGGTTCAGTTTCTTCACCTAGAAAACAGATGCATAATAGACCACCTGCCCTTCTCTCCCAGCCGGGTTGCCGGGCGAAGGAACTGTTTCAAAAACGCCCACAACGGGCGGCAAACATGTCCGTTACGGTAAGGCTCACGGAGCATCCTCAGCGCCACGCAGCCCGCGACGGCGGGACAGAGGGGTGTCTGCGACCCCAGTCCCGCACTACCGCCGGGCCGCAGGAACAATAGCTCCCCTGGAGGCGGCGCCGGCCGCGGGCGGGGGCGGAGCTGTCGGCGCGGGCACCGGGGGTGTGCGCGGGGCGGGGTCGTGGCCACCCCTCCCGCCCGCGGCTCCGTCACGCGCCCCTCACCGGGCGGGCAGGGGTCTTTGTGACGCGGTGGCGACAGCCGCGGACACAAAGGGAAGGCGAGAAGGCGAGCGAGGGGCTGGGCCCGCCCCCGCCCCCGCCCCGCGACCCCCGCCCGCCGCGCGCGCGCCCGCCCGCTCGCTACCCCAGCCTCGGTCTCCCCCCAACGCCGGCTCGCACCCTCGCGCGCACCCTCGCGCGCCCGCGACCCTCGCGCGCGCCCGGACCCACCGACTCCGTCCCGAGCGCGGCGGGCCGGGCCTGGCGGGCGCTGCGGGTGTGGCGGGGATGCCGAGGGGCTGCTCCCAGGCTCGGCGGCGCGGCTGCTAGGAGGCGCCGAGGCAGCGGCGGGGCTCGCGGTGCGCGGCTGGATGCCCTCGGCCTGCGGCTCGCTGCGCTTCCCGCCGTCCAGGGGCGCCAGTCATGGGCGCCGCGGCCGCTGAGGCGCCGCTCCGGCTGCCTGCCGCGCCCCCGCTCGCCTTCTGCTGCTACACGTCGGTGCTGCTGCTCTTCGCCTTCTCTCTGCCCGGGAGCCGCGCGTCCAACCAGCCCCCGGGTGGCGGCAGTGGCGGCGGCGGGGACTGTCCCGGCGGCAAAGGCAAGAGCATCAACTGCTCAGGTAGGAGCGGCCAGAGCCGGCCCCTGGGGCCCCTCCCTCTGCCGCCGCCTCCCTCCTTGTCCCCGCCGCCAAGCTGGGAAAGACCCCGGCGTGGGGGTCCCGGGGAGCCGGGCCCGAGGGCGAGTGAGGGCAGAGGGCAGGGCGCGAGCGTGCGATGCGGGCTTGGGGACGGCCGTTGGGGATGGGGAGTGGCCCTGCGTGCGTCCGCGTGTGTCGAGTGCCTGGGCGAGGGCGGCGCGGCGTGCTGTGAGATGCCGAGCAGCCGGCCGGGGCTCCCGGGGTGATCGTGGGTGTGCTCGCGGGAGCGCGTGTTTGTGTTGCGAAGGCTCAGGGGAGGGCGGGCGGCCGCAGGCAGGGATCGCTCTGTGTGTGTAGTGCTGTGGTGGGAGACGGTGAGGGGCTGGGGGCGCCGAGGCCAAGGTTCCAAGGGATTGACCATGTGCTGGGGAGGTTCTTCCTTAAGGCGCTGGGGTCTCAGAGGGGTAGTGTGGTTGAAGGGAACGGATTGCCCTGAGTACGCGGGTTGGCGGTGTAGAGTGACTGTATTTGTGTGTATGTATGTCCTTTGGGTTCAGAAGTGGGATCGACCCCGGGTCTGTGGATATGGGCAGGAGAAAGTCCCAGGGGCTCTGAAGTGACCCTATGTTTTTGTGTGGTGTTTTGTGTGTTGCCTCACTGAGGAGGAGGGATGGGGGTCCTGGAGTGAACCCGGTTTGTGTGGATTCAAGGGAGGAGGCTGGTTCGGGAGTCATCCTGCATAGGGTTTGGGTATAGAAAGAGGTAATGGGGTCTCAGGGAGTGCCCTTGTGTAGCAAAGTGTAACCCTAGGTTATTTAAGTGCTTTGGAAAGAGAGAACTGGTTCTGAGGGAAGGATGCTGTGTGTGTGTGTGTTTTGCTGGAGGGCCTGGAGATTGGCAGCAGTGGGAGCAAGGGAGTGACCTCTCCCCTCTCTGCAAGGCCACCTGCCCCCCTACAGCTGTTGGAAACAAAGAGCTTGCTGGGGCTTTAATGGATGACACTGGGGAAGAGGGTCCTGGGCAGTAAAGTTCCCTCTTCCTTTGTAAAGGGGTCCTAGAGGAGCCCAAGGATTCAGGCTCTGGGGCAAGGAGCAGCATCCAGGTCTCATTTGGGGTGGGTGGGTCCTCCTGGAGATGTCCTAGCAAATGCTAGAGATCATAAACCACATCCTTACTAACTTGCCTTTTTATCAGTTCTTAATCCTCCACTTGTCTTCTTACAACCAAGGGGGAGTAGGGGAGGAAGGATGGACATCAGGCGACTGGGAATCTGCTGGCTTGCCTGCTGGACAACCTTTGTACCTTTGGGCTCTTGAAGGGGCATTGTTTCTGGGGGAGTGAGGAAGGAGCAAGAGGGCCTCAGCACAGATACTTATTCTACCCTAAATGAAGAAAACCTTTGGCCTGCTGTTTAGGTTTGAAGGCCTGAAATCTTTTGATAATTTTCATATGGTATGTTTTATGAGGGGGGAGAGGTTTTTTTTTTTTGAGACAGAGTCTCACTCTGTTGCCCGGAGTAGAGAGAGTGCCATGGCGTCAGCCTAGCTCACAGCAACCTCAAACTCCTGGGCTCAAGTGATCCTACTGCCTCAGCCTCCCGAGTAGCTGGGACTACAGACATGTGCCACCATGCCCGGCTAATTTTTTCTATATAGATTTTTAGTTGTCCAAATAATTTCTTTCCATTTTTAGTAGAGACGGGGTCTCGCTCCTGCTCAGGCTGGTCTCGAACTCCTGACCTTGAGCGATCCACTCGCCTGGGCCTCCCAGAGTGCTAGGATTACAGGCGTGAGCCACTGCGCCCGGCCTATGAGGGAGGAGAGGTTTTGAGCACAGTAATCGTGGTCTGTCCATTAAAACCTTTTCCATCCATGAAATAACTTTTATTTTTCTAATGTTAAGTGGAATATGGGGTAATGCTTTAATTAGTAGTCACACTTTAAGAATAAAAACCATTTGTTTATTAGAGTCCCTTTTTTGTAACAAATATTAGTTAGATCATACCATGTCAAAATATTTTATGGGCTAATGTGCTGTAGCTGTTTGTTCTTGCTAAGCTAATTTGACCTTAGCAAAATACAGTGTGTGTGGATAGATGTTTTTGTGTATGCTTTCTTACTCTTTAGCGCATAGTACAAGTTTTAAGAAAGGAAACAGAGGGCTGGAAACCCACATGGTGTGGGAAAGAGGGATTATGGCCTTTGCTAAACAGCTGTGTAATTTGGAGCAAGTTACTTAATTTTTCTTAGTTTCCCTCCCTTTAAAAGAAAGACTTGGATTTAGTAATATCTAAGCCTTCTCTCAAGGAATATTTATTCATTGATATAAATGTCAATAAAGTAAGCTGATCTGATAAAATATTTCCTAGTGCTAAGTAAGATATACTTGAATAACTCTGGGTCTAAAGCTAGGGTTTTTAACTAAATGATGTTTTTAGATTCTTGTTGTAACTGTTTCTAGGACAAAGACCTGGGAAC